TACATGCACACCGCCGTGGCATCGGTACAGTCTCCGGCCGGCGTGACCCTGGCCGGCAAACACGGGTGCTCGGTCCTGACCATCACGGTACCCCGGGACCCGTCCGCCGGCCCCTCCGACCTGCAGGGACTTTGGAGCATCGCTGAAGAATCGGCGGCCGAACACGGCAACACCATGAACCGCGACGACTGGCGGTTGGTATTGCCCTGCCATTTGGCCGAGACCCGCAAGGAAGCGCTGGACGACGCCCGCATGGGAGCCGGCCGTTACCTGCGGGAATATAGCGAAGGAACCAACGGACGGAAGGCGGTTTTCGACGGCCCGCTGGACAAGGTTATCGACCACATGGCCGATACCGGCAGCTGGATCATTGGCACCCCCGACGACTGCATCGAAGCGCTGGAAAGGCTGGGAGAGCAGAGCGGCGGCTTTGGCGCGTTCCTCGTCCAGACCATCGACTGGGCGCCCCGGGAAAAAATGCTCCGGAGCTACGAACTGATGGCGCGCTACGTGATGCCCCCATTTCCAGGGCAGCGTACTCGGCACCGCGGCCTCAAACCAGTGGGCGGCAGATCGTCAGGACGAACTGGTCAGCGGACGGGTTCGCGCCATCGACCGCGCCCGCAGGCGTACGCCGACCGCGCCGGGTAAGGTAGCGCAGGCTGCCGAAGGTGAGCGAATTGGGCTAGAAACGATGGCCGGAAACATGCGGAAGGTGGGTTCAGGTATCCGTAAGGCGGTTACATATGTCTTCATGATACCCGCTACAGTCTCCTGGGTCGGGGTTGGCGCTGTGCCGTGGGGCATAATTCCGTTGTTGAATCCGGAGGTAGACTCCATGAGGTCAAGGGGCGGCGGCGTTTTGCTCATGCCAGTCGTGATCTTGGGCATAGTATTTGCGTTCGTTGGAGCGGGGGTATATTACGTGGTTGGGAGCAAAGTCATCAGTTTCCTGCGGCTATGGGACGAAGACCTGGGCTAGTGTGGTGTAGCTGAAGTTAGCAGTAATAATATCGACGATGAGATATCCTCTCACTGCATCGGCAATGAGGAGGATGAACATGGTCATGGGGCGACCGATGCCACCGCTGATATTGGACGATGTGGAGCGGGAAACGCTGGAGCGGTGGGTGCGTCGTCCGAAGACGGCGCAAGCGTTGGCGCTGCGGGCCAGGATGATTTTGGGCTGCGCCGAAGGCCGCAGCAACATCGCGGTGGCTGCCGACTTGGGAGTATCGGATGCAACGGTGGGCAAATGGCGTGCGCGGTTCTTGGAGCGGAGTTTGGATGGCCTGTCGGATGAACCCCGCAGCGGTCGGCCCCGAGCAGTTACCGATGATGATGTGGAACGGGTGATTATGCTGACGTTGGAGACAACACCCCAGGACGCCACCCACTGGAGCACTCGGTCCATGTCCCAGCGGTCCGGCCTGAGCCACAACACCGTCAGCCGCATCTGGCGGGCTTTCGGATTACAACCCCACCGCACCGCAGCGTTCAAGCTGTCGGCGGATCCCTTCTTCATCGAGAAGGTGCGCGATATTGGAGAAGGTGCGCGATATTGTGGGGCTTTATCTGGACCCGCCGGACCGGGCGTTGGTACTGTGCGTGGACGAGAAGTCCCAGATTCAGGCTTTGGACCGAACCAGGCCGCTGCTGCCAATGCGCCCCGGACCGGCGGAACGGCGCACCCATGATTACCTGCGCCACGGCACCACGTCGTTGTTCGCCGCCCTGGATACCAAAACCGGCAAGGTGATTGGACGCTGCCACCGCTGCCACCGAGCGGTGGAGTTCCGCAAGTTCCTCGATACCATCGAGGCGGAGGTGCCCGCCGGTCTCGACGTCCACCTGATTGTGGACAACTACGCCACTCACAAGACGGCGCTGATCCGGAACTGGTTGGCCAAGCGGCCGCGCTTCCACCTGCACTTCACGCCCACCTACGCGTCCTGGTTGAACCAGGTGGAGCGGTGGTTTGCGCTGCTCACGGAGAAGCACTGCGCCGAGGGGTGCATCAGAGCAGTGGGGAACTGGAAGCCGCCATCTACCGCTACCTTGACCTTACTAACGAAGACCCCAAGCCCTTTGTCTGGACCAAGACCGCCGAACAGATCTTGGCCAACGTGGCCCGCTTTTGCCAGCGTACTTTGGATACATGACACTAGGCTGCGTCTAGTACCGGCGACTCATACAGCTTTAAAATAACCTGATCGAATAGCGCTATTGGCTCGCCGGCGTGAGTAACTCTTGCCATCCTCTAGGTTGCGTGGCAATCTTGTTGGCCGGTATTGGATATGGAGGACACCCAACAGCGCAACGCGCCGCTTATCGTCGTTGGCCTGGGGAACCCCGGGCCGCGGTATCGTGATACGCGGCATAACGTTGGGTTCGGGTGTGTGGACTTGCTGGCCGAGCGGTGGGGAATCGCGGTCAAGACAGGCGGCGGACTACCGTTTTGGGGCAAGGGTATCGGGGACGGCACGGCGGTGGTGCTGGCCAAGCCGCGCACCTTTATGAACCTCTCCGGCGAGTCGGTAGGCTACCTGCTGGCGCGGTTCGGCGGAAAGGCGGCAGACCTGGTGATCGTGTACGACGAGATGGCGCTGCCGCTGGGGCGCATCCGCCTGCGGGCCCCGCGGCTCGGACGCCGGACACAACGGATTAAGGACATCATCCGTACCGTCCACACCGTCGACTCTCCCCCGTTTGGCGCATCGGCATCGGCGGGCCGGGCATGTCGGGCAGCGTCGATCACGTTCTGGGGCGGTTTTCGGACGAGGAACAGCCCGCGGTGAAGCGTCCATCGAGCGCGCCGCTGATCGGTGGAGTGCCTCCTGACCGACGGGATCAACATCGCGATGACCGGTACAACACCGATCCGCAGACCGACCCCGCCGGCGTAGAGGTCGGTACGGGATTAGGAACGCATCGGGAGACCGACAGTCGGCAACCACCCGCATGGGGCGAACCGCGATGGGCATACAGCGACTCTTGATCGGCGCGGCGGTGCCGCGTTTTTTGTTGATCGTATTGGCCTGCGAATCGGGTCCTCGGGGGTCGGCAACGGCTGTCCCGCAACCCACGGTCAGCAGGACTACCCACCCTCGACCCCCAGTGGCCGGTACGGAGACCCCATCGACGCCGACAATCTCCACCGCGCCCCCGGCAGGAAGCACCCCTCATCCTCCGCTACCCGCGACGGTGACCGCTACAAATTCAGGGTGTCGCCCGCTCCGATGGTCGCCGCCGATTTCCCCACTCCGCCGGAACGCGACCTGCTGGAACTCGCGCGGCAGCTGCGGTGGAACGGAGTGGAACCGGACCCGGAGCCGGCACGTTTCGCGGGCCAGTCGCTGGCCGTGGGGCCACCACGGATTTCTGGACTTGGACTACCACGCGACAGATGGTGAGCATGAGTTCGTCCTCGCCGCAGTGTCCGAACACGCCTACTGGTGGATCGAGCAGGGATTGAAGGTGGACGAATGATGACCTGCAACGGACAGTTAAGGAGGCCGAGGCCGAGGTATATCCCGGGGTACCGCCGTGTTCGGGTCCGCCCCTGGATCCGCCGCGGACCCGCAGCGGGGTCATATCATCAACGGGCGGATACCGGGCGTCGGCGGCTACGTGTCGGGCGCGGACCCGTATCCGGCGTCGGTGCAGCCCTTCAGCAACAGGGTGCCAGCCATCTACATCAACGCTCGGGATATCCCCCTGGGCAGCGGGAGTACCTCACCGTGCTGGCCCACGAGTTCAGCACGCCATCCACTGGCAGCCGACCCCACGGAGGAGAACCTGGCTCAACGAGGGGCTGTCGGAGCTGGCCGTAACCGAAGCCGGCTACTCCCCGGGCAGCATGCGGTACTACCTGCAACAGCCCAACGCGTCGTTGGTCAATTGGCGAACGACCTTGACGGCGATATCGGCCTCAACTATGGCGCGGCCTCCCTGTTCGCCCACTACCTTCGGGAGCGTTACGCGCCGGAAGGCGGGTTGCACGACCTGCTGGCCGGGGAGAGCAACGGCATCGCCGCCGTCAGACGCGTTCCTCATGGAGAGAGCGCCGAAACCCGAATCGGGTCGATACCGCCGATTTTCGGACGGCCTTCGCCGACTGGATGGTCGCCAACCTGCTCGACCACGACGATGGCCGTTTCGGATACGCTGAGCTGGACCTGGAGGCCGAATCTCCTGGACCCAGCGCGTGAATGACGACGGGGCGCGCGCGTCTTTGTCCCAGTATGGTATCGCCTACATCGAACTGGAGGACGCGGCGGGCGAGGTGACGGTCCGCTTCGAAGGCGATGGCGTCACTCCGTTGTTGCCCACAGAGGCGCCCGAGGGCGGTTGCTGGTGGACCAACCGAGGGGACAACGTATCATCCACGTTGACACGACGGATGATGGCGCCATCGACGGTTTCGGAGGCGAACAACCCGCGCTCACTTTCGATCTCTGGTACGACATCGAAGAGGACTGGGACTACCTCTATTTGGAAGTCTCAACCGATATGGGCTCGACGTGGGATGTGCTGCCGGCCGACGGTACCACTGACGCCAATCCTCTGGGCAACAGCTATGGCCACGGCTACACGGGCGCCGGCGATTGGCGGGAGGTGACGGTGCCGCTGTCGGATTACGCGGGCCTCGACGCTTTGGTGCGGTTCCACTACGTGACGGACGACGCCATTCACGGCATCGGCGCCTGCGTCCGAGGGCATGACCTTCTCGTGGGATGCTGACGCCTCGATCGGTTCGAGTTGGACGGCGGACGGATTTGTGGAGGTCAACAATCGTGTCCGGCAGGACTGGATCGTTTGGGTGATCCGGGACGTCGCGCAGCCGGAAGCGATCCCAATGCAATTGGAATGGGACGCCGACAACCAACGGTATGCCGGGCACGTGGTCCAGCGGCCGGTCGGCGATGGCGGCCGGTTGGTCGTGGCGGTATCCCCGGTGGCCCCCGCCACGATGCAGCCGGCCCGCTATCGGGTCTGGGCTAACGAAGGAGTGTGGGGTCCGCCGAGCCGGTCAGGGCCTTCGTGAGCAGGCATTCGGCGAACTCCCGCAGGCCGCCGGAACGATCACAGGCGAAACACCGCCACGTGACCTGAGGCAGCGATACCTGCAATGATCCGGCGGCGGCGCAGAATGGACAGGCCGCCGCCAGCTTCTGGCGCTGCGGCGTCGTTGCCCCCAACGCGGTTAGGGTTGTGAAGGCTCCAATCAGTTGTAGGAGTCGCCCCCGGCGCACGGGACCGGTTGGGTCGTCGCCCATCCCGCGGCAGTCGCGCCGTCGCAACTCGGTCAGCAGCGCGGGCGCTATCGAGGCCGTCTGCGCTGCAATCCGTTGTTCTCTGCTTGACGGTTGCCGCCCCGTGCCGTCGGCCCGGGCCAGGGCCACGGTCAGGGTGTACAAGCCGGGGCCGCTCAGAACGGACACGCCGGCTGTCAGGTTACCGTCGGATGCGGCCCACAAGTGATCCACAAATACTTGCAGGCGGTCGTCGGTGTACTCCGGGAACGACGCCGCCGGCCATTCCGTCGGCCCCGCCTCCTCCCCGACTAGATACAGGAAACTGTCCGTCGAGAGCGAATTGACCACAATAAGCAGGACCCCCGGTGAGTGTTGATTCCACAATACGGAATCCCTCGCCGGGGGCGCAATGAGCTGATGTCAGCAGATTCGTGTCTCGATGGGATCTCCCGGATGGGCGGCAATCCGGCGTCTATCCATCGGTTGCGCCGGTGGCCCACGACTTGATCAGGTGATGGGCGATGGCGATCGGCCCCGGCACCGTCAACTCCTCGCTGCGGCCTTCCAGGGCCAGCAGCACCTCCGACCGGTCGAACCAGCGGGACGTCGGTCATCTCCTCATCGTCCATGTTGATGTCGGTGGTATCGGCCTCAGCCAAACAGCCGATCATCAGCGAGGACGGGAAGGGCCACGGCTGGGACGAGTGGTAGCGCACGTTTTTCACCCGGATGCCGGCCTCCTCCATCACCTCCCGGGCCACGGCCTCCTCGATGGCTTCGCCCTGGTCCATGAAGCCCGCCAGCGCCGAGAATGCCCGCATGCGCTGCAAGCGTCCTCGAGATTGCCCGAGGAGGCATCGGTCCCGTGCAACGTCCGCGACGACGGTGATAACCACCGGGTCGGTGCGCGGGAAATGCTGGGCGTTGCAGCCCGGGCATTGGCGCGACTGTCCGCCGCGCTTCTTTTCCGTGGGGTGACCGCAAACGGAGCAGAACCCGTGGCGCAGGTTCCAGTCCAGCTGCGCCCGGGCGTGGGACAGCAGGCCGGTGTTGGGGCCGGACATGGTCTCGCCGGCGGTGCGGCAGTCCTCGAAGCGCCAGCCCGTCTCCGCCTCCACGCGGTCAGCCGTATTGGCGGACTTCGACAGGTCCACCGAGAAGTGCGCCACCCCGTCTAGGAGGCCGAGAAAGATCCATGCGGCTTCCGGCGGCAATGATCGCAATTGAACCGTACTGAGCCAGCCCAGCTCGGGCGGAGTCTGATCGGTCAGGAGCACGTTGAGGTTGCGGAAGGGCAGGAACCTGCTGGCCGGATCCTCGGCCTGTTGGAGTATCCAGTCCTCGTCGCGGCGCTCGGTTTCGCCGCGATTGATCGGGTTGTCGGCAAATATGTGGGGTGGGTAGGTCATCTAACATTCCCCCGGCAGTTCATGTTCGGGTCGTCGCGACGGATGCGCGACGGTTCATGCAGCGTTTTATAACCCAAGCTGGCCGAGGCGACAAGGAGCGCAGCAGGCACCGACACCAAGCCTCAGGCCACACCTGACGCAGTTGGCGCCACTGACTGGATGGTGCTGCACGGACTAATCGTACGCCTGGTGGTATAGATGAGGTTCGCCGTCTCCGTTACGCCGCTTCTGCCAGGATGTCTCGCTCGATATGACGACGGAAGTCTGCCAATGAATTGAATACTCTAAAACCGGCATCGCTGGCCGCACGTCGCACGGCATCATCCTCGTCTATCAGCAAAGCCACTGGCTGGCTAAACCCCACCTGCAGCCCATGGGGCCAAGCCAAGTCCAACACAGCGACCGGTTCGTCACTGTCCTCGTCATAAATCTCGTGAGCAATCTCCCCGGCGGGCAACCCATGTTCCAGGGCGAAACTGTTGGCGTTCGCCAGGATCGCTGCCTCATCGTCGGGGTCAACGTTGCCGAGGACAATGGCGGCGGCTTCCTGTTGTCGCATGTCGGACGGCGGCTCATCTGCCGGGGGTATTATCCCTTTCAGCAGCGTGCCCAGCATCTCGTTGGCGGCGTCCGCTAGCCGGCGACGCCGCGCGTCCAGAAAGCGGTGGTAGTTTTCAACCTTCCACAATTCAGGGTCTGTTGGTATCCACTGAGACTCCAAGGTGCCCGGCCAGTTGGCGGCAACTTCCGGCATATACTCGGCAGGCGCCCGGTCGCTGAGGGTACGGTTGGTTTCCCGCGTTTGAAAGGCGATGTTGCCGAGATTATTGGTATCGTTGGCGGATATTCCATGCCGGCGCAAGTGAGCTCGCGGGAATATGTGGTGCATCTCCAGGTTGGTGTGGTCGCCCAGGCTGTGGTGCCGCAAGCGGTTGCCCGTGCCCCAATCCCGCGCGTCCCCAATACGGGACATAATGTACAACAGCGGGTAGAACCGCGCTCTGGTGTAGTTGAGGTCAAAGTTCTCGTGGTTAACGCTGCGGTCGCCTTGACTCTGCCGCAGATTGCGCAAGAGCGCTCCTACTGGGTCCGGGGCCTTTAATGCGGTCAAGTCCTGGTTGATAATGGTTTCCGTGGGTCCGGAGAAACGGCCCCAGATGGCAATGCTGACGTACCAGTGCAGCAAGCGCGCCAAAGTTGCCTGGTCCGGCAATCCGCCGCCGCTATCGACCAGATACCTTACCATCACCGGGAATGACGCTTTGCTGTTGTACACCCGGTCGGTGTCCATATACAGATGGGTGCGCATGGCTTCGAGCAGGTAGTCAACGGCATTTTCCGTTTGCTGCAACGCATCCTGGATGCGCTCAATCCCGTTCTCTTCCGGCACCAGCCGTTCAAATTCGGAGTTTTCGTTGACCACCGCGTTCATGCAGCGCAGCAGCCAGTCCAGATTTGCGCCATTGGGGCCGAACCCATTGCGTTCCCATTTGGTCAGCCTCTGTCGCATATCAGAGCGAACGTCCGGCCAGTACGCGCCAATTCGCGCCATCGCCAAATCACCTTTGGACAGTTTGGTTCCACCAGAGTTGACTCGGTTGAATATATCAACCACTATATCGGCAGTTTTGTCGGCACCGGTAATCCGTGCAATGTGCAAGTCAATATTCTGAACGTCTTCAATATTTTGCGCTTTCCGCATATATGAACGTAAGTTTGCGTTGTACTCTGGCGCGTCAGGTAGTTGGCTCATCCACTGGCTGTCGTTGGCTGAGGCAAACAGGCCCGAGACGCTGACCCACAACGGGTTATTTCTCATCCTCACGGGAGCGTAGAACTCGAACTCCTCGCTCTCCAAATTGAAGTACAAATCAGTGAAAGCCTTGGCATCGCCGTCGAAAAACGCCGGAGGGAAGCCCCTGATTATCCCGTAGAGACTGGTGACACGTTGCTGGCCATCCAACAACAGGTCTATGGGTCCCGAGACGCGCATTGCATGGTCGTTACGTACTTCTGACTGCTCAGCTCGTGTTGTCCAAGTGAGCAGCGAACCAACGGGATATCCGTGGTACAAAGATGTCATTAAGTCCTTCACTTGACGTCGCTTCCATACATATCCGCGCTGAAAAACCGGCAACGCTATGGCTTCGTTATCAATGTCATTGAGAATGTCAGCAATTTTCATGATGCGCTCCTAACTTGATCGTGGGCCGTAATATACACGGCCCAACAGCCCATCCGCAGCGCGTGGGTTGGGGCGGGCCGCGCCGTACCGGGTCAACCACCAGCAAAGCGCCTTCCAGCGTGTACGCGCCGAGTTGTGCAGGGGTATATTCGTCGGTAAATATTATCAGCGTAGGCGTCTCTATTCACTCTGCGCGGACGCGGGCCTCGCCAACGGGATCTTCCACGACCCTTCCACCAGCCAGTTCTGACTGAATCTGCCATTGCGAAGACATTCCAGGTTCACGCGGCAAATCCGCCGGCAGGCAGGTGTAGGTGAAGCCGGTGTCGACCGTCGCATCCACCCTCTCGGAACTGCTGCCGTCCGCCGAAATTTACTTCAATAGGACAGGTGAAGGTTCCCATGTCACGCGTCTTTCGCCGACGGGTATTCGGGCCGCCGTCGCTCGCGCAGGGCGGCCAGGCCCTCCTTCACGTCGTCGCCGAAGAAACCCAGGGCCTCGGCCAGCAGGGAGTAGTCGAACGATGTGTGTCCGGCCTGGCGGAGCCATTGGTTCAGGGCGCGCTTGGTGAAGCGGATGGCCGGCTGCGGACCGTCGGCCAGGCGGCGGGCGACGCGCATGGCGGTTTCCATCAGCTCGTCCCGGGGCACGGCCATGCTGACCAGCCCGATGCGCTCCGCCTCCTTGCCGTCGAGAAAGTCGCAGGTGAGCAGGTAGTACTTGGCCTTGGCCATGCCGCACAGCAGGGGCCAGATGATCGCCGCATGGTCGCCGGCGGCGACTCCCAGGCGGATGTGCCCGTCGGTGATGCGGGCGTCCTCGGCGGCAATGGAGATGTCGGCCATTAGGGCCACTGCCAGGCCCGCGCCCACGGCGACGCCGTTGATAGCGGAGATGACCGGTTTGTCCAGATTCAAGATGTTGTAGACGATGTCGCCGGCTTCCTTGGTGTTCTGGGCGACGATGGCGGGGTTGTCGATGGCCTGCTCGATCATCTCGAAGTCGCCGCCGGCGGAGAATGCCTCGCCGGCCCCGGTGACCACGGCAACCCGCACTTCAGGGTCAGCGCCGATGTCCAGCCAGATCCGGCTCAACTCGTTGTGCAGCCGGAAGTTGGTGGAGTTCAGGGTCTCGGGGCGATTCATCGTGAGCGTGATGATGCCGTCGGACTTTTCGATAAGCAGATGCTGGTATGAGGAGTAGTCGGTCATTGGAGGATTCTCGCAGGTCGGTAGTGATGGGTGTTCGGGTTATTCAACGGTGTCGCCGGGCGTCGGCTCGAAATCGGGCGGAAGGTCGAACGTTGGTCGTCCGTCTGAACGGTGACTGTGGGAGAGTATGGCCATCATCAGTTGGTAGTGGTTGCGCTGCATCTGGAGTTGCATATCCGCAACGGTTTTGGAAAGTTCGTTCAAAGAGGTTTGCAGGGCATCGGTTTTCTCGCTGAGGTTGGTCTGAAGGGCATCGGTTTTCTCGTTGAGAGAGGTTTGAAGGGCATCGGTTTTCTCGTTGAGAGAGGTTCGCAGGGCATCGGTTTTCTCGCTGAGAGAGGTTTGAAGGGCATCGGTTTTTTCGTTGAGCGATGTTCGCAGGACATCGGTTTTCTCGTTGAGAGAGGTTTGAAGGGCATCGGTTTTTTCGTTGAGCGATGTTCGCAGGACATCGGTTTTCTCGTTGAGCGATGTTTGCAGGACATCGGTTTTTTCGTTGAGCGATGTTTGCAGGACATCGGTTTTCTCGCTGAGCGATGTTCGGTTGGCTCCGACCTCGGAATCCAAGCGACCGATGTCCCGGAGGATGTGGCCCATGCGATTCCAAAGGGCGGCAATGGCGCCCAGCGTGAACAGGAGCACCGCGCCGTACACGATCTGCGGGACTAATTCTGCTGCCATATCTAGACCTCTCCAGTGACGTCAGGCGCCCATCCTACCAAACGACGTGCGCTTGCTGCAGGATAGCTAGTTCGGCCTCGTCCATGCCCAGCAGGCCGCAGAAGACCTCGCGGTTGTGCTCGCCCAGCTCGGGAGTCCAGCGCAGGGCATCCGTGGGCGTTTCCGAGAAACGCCAGGGCGGAGCCACCGCCCGCTGCTCGCCTTTTTCGGCATGGATGGTGGTGGGGAAAGCGTCACGTTCGGCCAGGTGCGGATCGGCCATCAGCTGGTCGGCGGACAGCGACGGGACCGCCGCCACGCCAACCGATTGCAGCAGGTCGCTGACTTCTCCAGCGGTGCGGAAAGCCGTCCAGTCGGACAGCCGCTGCTCCAGGGCGTCCTGGTTCTGCCAGCGCAGGAAGGCGTCGCCGTACTCGTCGGCGTCGGCCCATCCCGGGTTGCCCATTGCGTTCTTGAGCGCGCGCCATTCTTTGTCGTCGGCGACCGCGATGGTCACCCACTGGTCCTCTCCCCGGCAGGGGAACACCCCGTGGGGAGCCATGACCTCGTCGCGGTTGCCCATGCGCGGGGCATCGCGATCATTCATGGCGGTGTCCATCAGGGCGTGGCCCATGAAGGCGGTGGCGATGTCCCGCACCGCGACGTCGGCGCGCTGCCCCACCTGATGGTTGCGGTGGGCGCACAGGGCGGCGACGGCTGAAAAGGCCGCCATCATGCCGCCGGTGTGGTCCATGGCGTGGCGCAATTCGACGGGCGGCCCGTCGGGATAGCCGGTGAGGTAGCCGAGCCCTCCCAACGCCGCAAACATTGGAGCGTATCCAGCGTAGCTCGCCTCGGGTCCGGTCTGCCCGTTGGAGGACAGCGACACCATGATGATGTCGGGCTTGATCTCTCGCAGTTGCGGGTAACCCAGTCCCAGCCGGTCCATAACGCCGGGGCGGAAGTTTTCCAGCGCCACGTCCGAAATGCGCACCAGGTCATGGGCCAACTCCAGGGCCCGGGGCTCCTTGAGGTTGAGGGTCACAGAGCGTTTGCTGGCATTGACCTGCTCGAAGGACGACGGCGGCTTGCCGTACATGGCGTGCGGGCGGCGGGTGATGTCCAGGCGCGCCGCCGATTCCACCTTGATCACGTCGGCGCCCAGGGACGCCAGGATCATGCCGGCAAAAGGGCCGGCGGCGTGGACGGAGAAGTCCGCCACGCGCACGCCGGCGAGGGGAGCCGAGGAGTTGGTCATAATCGCCGCCTGAACGCTATGCGTTCGCCGAGCCGTTCTGGAACTTCTCCTGATACTCCTGCAGCAGCGAAGGCAGGCGGTCGGGATCGGTTCGCGCCGCCGCGTTGAGCATCATCAGCATTTCCCGAGCCTCTTTCCGAGCCTCTTTCCGCCCTTCCTCCCGGGCTTCCGCGATGCGTCGCTTGCGTTCCGCCAAAGCAAAAAACATTCTGACCCCCAATTCCGCCAGTACTCCCAGCGAAAAGGAAACGAAGGCGCCCCACTCCCACAGCCCGATGATTTCCTGTGGAGTGCTGTGCCAAGCCCAATTGTGACACCTACCCATAAGGTCAATATGTTGACCGGCCAGATACCCAGAATGATGAACTGGATATGCCTGATAGCCGGAGTGGGGATCTCCATCCTACTTCATTCCCGGCGGCGGTGAGTTATGCCGCCGCCGCCGGGAAACCCGCTCACGATTAGTAGTACACCGCGCTGCCCGTCCCGCCGCCGGCAGCGATCAACTCGCCGGTGATCGCCCACGCCTTGTCGGAGGCCAGGAAGGCGGTCAGGTAACCGATCTCCGAGGCGTCGACCATGCGGCAGATGTGGTTGCCTCGGGCCGAGCCGGGAGAGAAGTCCTGCGCCTCGGCCTCTTCCGGTGAGACGCCAAGCTGCTCGGCGCGGGAGGCCAGCAGGCTCGGCGTGCGCTCGGTGCGGGTGGTGCCGGGATGGATGCAGTTGACGGTGATGCCGAACTGACCCAGCTGCGCGGCCAGGGTCTTGGTCATGTGCACCAGCGAGGTATTGCGCGCGCCGCCGCTGAGGTTGCCGGCGTTGCGTGCGTTGAGGCCGCTGATGTTGATGATGCGGCCAAAGCCCTGTGCTTTGAGCATCGGAATGGCGGCCCGGGAGCAGCGCAGCGCGCCCACGAACTTCACGTCGAAGTCGCTGAGGAGTTCCTCGTCGATCAGGTCCTCAATGGGGCCGGTCGCCGACGGTGAGCCGCCCGGAAGGGACGCGCTGTTGACCAGAATGTGCAGCCCGCCCAGCGTATCGGCGGCATCGTTGATAACGCGGTCAACCTGTTCTCGGTTGGTGGCATCAAATGACATGGGAATGGCGCGACGGCCGGTGGTTTCGACGATCTCGGCGGCGGTCTGTTCCAGGTCGGGCATGGAACGCGAGCCGACCACCACGTCGGCGCCCTCGCGCGCCAATTCCAGGGCAATCGCCTTGCCGATACCGCGGCTCGCCCCACCCACAAATGCCAGTTTGCCTTCAAGTCCAAAATCCATAGGGAATAGCCTCCATTAGGATACGAACGCACTGGCAGAGGCGCGTCCGTTGAGATGATGGGATTATACATCGCAACAGGCCGAAGGCTGTGGACAGCCCAGCTACAACGGCCCCATTCCGCCACACTGCGTTGATCGTGAAAACGATCCGCCGCAAAGTAACCACAAACATCCTGGCTAGATCAGGACGGAGATCATCTGGAGTGGTGCTGGTTTCACTTCGTCAGGATACTCGGGGCCAGGATACTCGGGTTGAAGAATGGCGACTTGGCACCCTTCACATTACCTGGAACCCGCATTGCGGCGGGAGGAGCGGCCAACCGTGGCCCAGCACGGCGTTGCGTTGCGTCGCGTTGCCGGAAACAGCCTGGCGGGAGATTACGATCGCGGCGGGCAGCCAGGGGCCGCGCACCTATCGTTACCGCGCCCAGCGGGTGCGGGTAACAAGTCGACACCAGCCTGGCGATTTCCTCTGGGCGGTCATCGCCAGAACCCGGACGGCCGCGAACGCCGTTACTATCTGTCCAACGCTTCCGAGAACACCCGGTTGGTGATCCTCGCCCACGTGGGTGGTTCCCGGTGACGCATCGAAACCGAGTCCGAGGCCGGGAACAGCGTCGTGCGGCTGGGCGAGTACGCAATCCGTGCTCGGGCGGGATGGCATCATTGCCGGGGCTGGCATCATTGCGCAGGATGGCATTATCACATTTCAATGTACCTGCATGGCGGGGCTTTCGTGGTGACCCGGCAGCAGGATGGGAAGCCGATGCCCCTGATCACGCGACCCCAGGTGTACCGAGCAGCCCGTTATGCGCTACCACGGGAGCGGTTCGGACCGGAGGAGTTGCTGTTCTGGCTGGAAGGCATCCAACTGCGCAACGCACGGGCATGATGCTGCCATGAGGAACGCGCGCCGCGAGCGTCGCACCTACCGGCATCCCACCATAACAACCTGTCGTTTTCATATTAGGGATTTGAACTGAAAATAGTTTGCGGAGAAGCGAGTTGACATTTATAATACCGCCGATGAGATGACACGTTGAAGTTGATTGGATAACTAGGTTGAGATGCTGCTGACGATCGACATTGGCAACACGGCCGTGACCGTTGGGGTGTTCCGCAAAGGGAGTGCCACCGGGGGGAGCGAGACGGAGCCAATCCGGCGGAGCGGCTGGTGACCACGCTGCGAGTGGCGACGGATTCGCGGCGGCTGGCGGACGAATACGGGATCCTGCTGAAGAACCTGCTGGAGTTCCGGGGGATCGCGACGACGGACATCACGGCAGCGTGTATCTGCTCGGTGGTGCCGCCGCTGACGGGGATGTTCGAGGACCTGTGCCGACGGTTCTTCGGGGTGACCCCGCTGCTGGTGACGTCGCAGATCGACCTGGGGATGCCCGTCCGTTATGACAACCCACGAGATGTGGGGGCGGATCGGATCGTGGACGCGGTGGCGGCGGTGGAGCTTTACGGCGCGCCAATGATCGTGGTGGACCTGGGCACGGCGACGGTGTTCGACGCGGTGTCCCGGGACCGGGAGTACCTGGGCGGGGCCATCGCGCCGGGGATCAACCTGTCGGCGGACGCGCTGTACTACAACACGTCGCAGTTGCGGCGGGTGGAGCTGGTGGCGCCGGCGGAGGCCGTGGGGCGGAACACGACGACGTCGTTGCAGTCGGGGATCGTGCTGGGGTACGCGGGGCTGGTGGAGGCAATGGTCGGGCGGTTCAAGGCGGAGATCGGCGAGGACGCCAGGGTAGTGGGCACCGGCGGGCTGGTGACGGTGATCTCGGATCATGTGCCCGTGTTCGACGACATCAACCAGGAACTGACGCTGGTCGGGCTGGACATCATCTACCGGAAGAACGCGGCGGGGCTCCCCAGCTCCGGCGCATCGGCCGGCATGAGCCGGGCGGGCTGACATGGATTCCGCGCTGGCCGGCAAGAACATCGTGCTGGGGGTGACCGGGAGCATCGCCTGCTACAAGGCGCTGGACCTGGCCAGCAAACTCGTACAGGCTGGGGCCCACGTCGAAACGATCCTCAGCTACGGCGCGACACAGTTCGTGACACCGCTGGCGTTCCGCAGCCTGACGCACCGGTCGGTGGTGACGGACACCTTCGACGCGGACTCGGAGCACAGTGTGGAGCACGTCGCGCTGGCGCGGTGGGCGGATATCGTCGTCATCGCTCCGGCGACGGTGCACTGCATCGCGAAGCTGGCCGGGGGCCTGGCGGACGATCCGCTGACGACGACGGTGATCGCGACCGAGGCGCCCCTGCTGGTCGCGCCGGCCATGGACGCCAACATGTTCGACCATCCGGCGACGCAAGAGAACATCACGCGGCTGCGCAGCCGGGGCGTGTTCCTGGCCGGGCCGGCGCCGGGTCGGTTGGCGTCCGGACTGATGGGAATAGGAAGGCTGGTGGAGCCGGCGGATCTCCTGGGGTACATCGCGGCGGCGCTGGGGAAGGACGGAGACTTCGCCGGACGGAAGGTGGTGGTAAGCGCCGGTGGGACCCAGGAGCGATCGACCCCGGTGCGGGTGATCACGAATCACTCCTCGGGACGGATGGGATACGCCGTGGCCGAGGCGGCGCGGGACCGGGGTGCGGAGGTGGTGCTGGTGACGGCGCCGACGGCGTTGCCGGATCCGCCGCTGGTGCGGACGATACGGGTGAAGTCGGCGCAGGACATGTGCGACGCGGTGCTGGCGGAGACGCCGATGTCGGACGCGCTGATCATGGCGGCGGCGGTGGCGGACTACCGGCCGTCGGTGATGGCAGAACAGAAGATAAAGAAGACGGCCGCGGACGAGATGTCCATCGACCTGGAGAAGACGACGGATATATTGGCGACGGCCAGAGGGAATTTTGTGCGGGTCGGGTTCTCAGCGGAAAGCGAGAACCTGGAGGCGAATGCCGCGGACAAAGTGCGGCGCAAAGAGTTGGACCTGATAGTGGCCAACGATATTACCGAAGAAGGCAGCGGGTTTGGCGTGGACACGAACCGGGTGGTTCTGATTGACCGCGAGATGGAAGTTGAAGACTGCCATTGCTCACGAAATACGAGTGGGCCACAGATCCTGGACCGGGTATCCGCGCTGCTGAAGTCGTGAAGTTCGACTACAGTCTGGACAATCTCCGCGGCGACATCTTCGGAGGCCTGACCTGTACGGTAGTCGGCCTGCCGGTGGCGCTGGCATTCGGCGTGGCGTCCGGCCTGGGCCCGACCGCCGGCATGTATGGCGCGATAGCCGTCGGGTTCTTCGCGTCGGTATTCGGCGGGACGCGGTCGCAGATATCGGGTCCGACGGGGCCCATGGCAATCGCGATGGCGGTGATCGTAACCAGCCACGCGAACACCCTGGCGGAAGCGTTCACCATCGTGATGCTGGCCGGCTTTTTGCAGGCGGCGCTGGGCCTCGCCCGAATCGGACGGTTCGTGGCGTACACGCCGTACTCGGTGATTTCGGGGTTCATGACGGGGATCGGCGTGATCATCATGATCGTGCAGATCGCGCCGTTCCTGGGGTCGCCGGTGGCCGTGGGCGGCGTGATCGGCGCGGTCAATTCGCTGGAAAACGCGGTGACCAACGTCAACTTCCACGCGCTGGCGGTGGCGGCCGTGACGCTGGTGGTGGGAATCCTGTGGCCGCGGCCATTCCGGAAGATCCTGCCGGCTCCGCTGGCGGCGATGATCGTGGGCTGTGCGCTGGGGATCCTGTGGCTGAACGACCTGCCGATCATCGGGGAGGTGCCGACCGGGTTGCCGGACCTGCAGTTCCCGGCGTTCTCGGTGGGGTTCATCCTGAACGCGCTGCAGCCGGCGCTGGTACTGGCCCTGCTGGGATCCATCGACAGCCTGCTGACGTCACTGATCGCGGACTCGCTGACGCGAACGCGGCACAACCCCAACCGGGAGCTGATCGGGCAGGGCATCGGCAACATGATTGCCGGGGCTGGTCGGCGGACTGCCGGGAGCGGGAGCGACCCTGGGAACCGTGGTGAACATCCGGTCCGGCGGCAACACGCAACTGTCTGGCGCGATCCGCGCGGGGGTGCTGCTGGCGCTGGTGCTGGGTCTGGGCCGGTACGTGGAGGCGATACCCCACGCAGTGCTGGCCGGAATCCTGATGAAGGTGGGCTGGGACATCATGGACTGGCGGTTCGTGAAGCGGGTACACCAACTGCCGCGGGAGCACCTGCTGGTGATGGTGATAACCTTTTGCGCTGACCGTGTTCCTGGACCTGGTGACGGCGATCGCCATCGGTTTGATCGCGGCGGGGATGGCCAGCGCGCGGCTGCTGGAGAGGCAGGAGCTGGACAGCGTCGTGTCCGTGCCGCTGCTGGATCAGAGCTTCCTTTCGCTAGACCCGGACGCCGAGGACGCGGACGAGTTCTCTGCCCGGGTGGGCCTGGTGGCGCTGCGGGGGCGATTCTCCGTGGCGTCGTCGAGCAACCTGGTGAGCACCATCGGGCAAGACATTCAAGAGCACGAGGTGGTGATATTCGACTTCACCGAGACCGCGTACATGGACGACAGCGCGGCCATGGTGGTGGAGCAGATGATTGACGTGGCGCTGGACGAGGACACGGAACCGATTGTGATGGGGCTTTCCGGCCCCGTGGAGCGGAACCTGCGGGCGCTGAACATACTGCACCGCGTTCCGGCGGACCGCTTCGTGAGCACGCGGGACGAGGCGCGGGAAGTCGCGGAGAGGATACTGACCGCGTAACAACGCAAACAGGGTTGGATCGCCTCGCCAACCGGCACATGGAGGACGACAATGCGTATCGGAGTGTTTGTTGGAGCGTCGACGGCCGATCTGATGAGCCTTGACGAACTGATCGGGCGGATCAAGCAGGCGGAAGAGGACGGGTTCGACAGCTTCTGGGTGCCGCACATTTCGGCGCGAGGTTACGACGCGCTGACGGTGCTGGCGCTGGCGGGAGTGCAGACCAGCCGGATCGAACTCGGGGTCGGCGTGGTGCCGACCTATCCCCGGCATCCGGTTGCAATGGCGCAACACGCGCTGACCACGGCGGCGGCGAGCAACGGGCGGTTCCTGCTGGGACTCGGGCCATCGCACCGCCCGGGCATTGAGGGAGCTTTGGGCTGTCGTACGACCGGCCGGCGCTGCACGTGCGGGAGTACCTGTCGGTGCTGCGTCCGCTGATGGAGGAAGGTCGGGTGCAATTCTCCGGCGAGTTCTACAACGTGAACGCGGAACTGGACGTGCTGGACCGGCCAAAGTGTCCGGTGCTGATTTCGGCGTTGGCGCCGCACGCATGCTGCGGCTGGCGCGAACGGGCTGACGGACCATCACCTGGATGGCGGGGCCACGCACGATCCGCGAACACATCACGCCGCGTATCGGGCAGTCGGCGGAGGCCAGCGGACGGGACACTGCCCCGCGTGTGCGTGGGCCTGCCGACGACGGTGTGCGACGACGAGGCCACCGGCCGACGCCAGGCTGCGGAGGCCTACGAACGATACGGGACGCTGGTGAACTACCAGCCGGGTGCTGGACATCGAGGGCGTGGAAGGGTCCGTCGGAGGTGGCGGTGATCGGCAAACGAGGAGTCGCTGCGCGTCAGCTGCAGGAGTTCGCCGCCGGCGGGGCCACCGACTTCATGGCCAACATCTTCGCCGGCGAGGGCGACGGCGAGACGGGGCCGCGGACCTACGCGGCGCTGAAGGAGTTGGTGGGGAAGGTCTGAGTACCAGCCAACCCTTATACCGACGCCGGTGTCGTGTTGCGGAGCGTAAACGACACTCAGCGGGTCACCGTGGACCGGCGGCGCCGGGTTGACCTCGATCAAGCCGTGTCAGCTCTCTTCCGAGTAGGACTGGCTGGCCCACTGACCCTGATGGTGTGGCGGTCGTAGGCGTTTCAGGCGTTGGAATTCATATCCGCTCACACCTGCCGATGGACCACCTGGATCTCGCCGGCTGACGCCCTTGGCAGCTCCCGTTACGACACTGAACCGACCGGGATGCCATGGACGAGCGTTTGAACTGGGCGGTTACCTGCGCGCTGCGATCGAATTCTTGAACAGCCGACGCTATCACCCGTCTTCCGACAATCCGGTCAGATCCGTCATCACACCGAAATCGATGCGGCGATCTCTGGCGCAGGAAGCCGAGTGCCGCACCAGGTCTGCTGCCCAGATCAGAGTAACGTTGGATTCTTGGTCGGTCATTAATTCGTATCCTCAGTGTGGATCCGGGATGGGGTTCACCGGAATTCCTGCAACGACAACAAATGCGCTAACTATATGCGGAATAATCCCTATTGGCTACAATGTATGCGCTTCGCAACGAAATCGTGGGCAGACATACCCAGCATACGCCAAATCAGAGGTCATCGGTTTCTCGTCAATCGCAGTTTTCCCCATTGCCGGAGGCGCCGTCATCGACATGGCTCCTCTTGTTCTTTCGAGGGTGTTCGGCGTCTACTGGCGACCCAATGGACCGCAGCGCCGGGCGAGCAAGGCGAAACCGGGCGAATGATTTCGCCCCTACGCATTCTTTGCGACCGCAGGTCGCCCGGCTAGCTGACGGCTTCCTTGAAGCGTCGGATGGCTCTCGATGTGCTGGTCGGGCCCTTGAGACCGGCGCGCATGGTGTTGACTGAGAAGTGGGTGGCGCCGGCGTCGCTCCAGTCGGCGGCCAGCTTGTTCCAGTCTGGTTCGGGGTTGTTGCTGTCGGCAGGGAGGCGCGGCCCTCGACGCCGATGGCGGAAGGATCCTCCGCCCGTAGCCCGGCCAGCTCGCGCATCTCCTCCACGGCGTTCGCGGCCAGCGCCCGTCGGCTGAACTGGGGAACCAGCCCATCACCCGGCGGGCGAGCGCACGCACGACCTGGGGCGCGACCGCCGCAGAACCAGACGGGATGGGCCGCTGACGTGGCAGGAGTGAGGCCGGCGGGGAGTGATCTTGTGGTAACGGCCCTCGTAGTTCACGAGCTTCCTGGGTGTCCAGAGCATACGCATGCAACCTCGTTTCCAGCCCACGCCGAGCCCAGGCGCAGGCGGCCGTTGGTGAGGACGTCTACCTCCGCAGTC